AAAGAATAATCACTTAATAAACAGTGGTTGAGAAAACTGGTTATCTGCATGCAGACAAATAAAATTAGATCCTCATTTCATACCAAACACACACACAAAAAGAAAAACCAACTAAAATGGATTAAAGTCCTAAACACATGGCCTGAAACTATAAAACTAAAAGCAAGCATAGAGAAAAAGCATTTATATTGTATGTATTTTAGTGTACACTATAATGTTTCAATATACATATACAGAGTGAAATAATTACTATAGTCCAGTAAATTAACATATCCATCATCTCACCAAGTTACTCGTTGTCTGTGGCAAGAGCACCTAAAATTTACTCTTCCAACAAAAATCTTCAGTACAATACAGTATTACTAACTATAATTTTCATATGATTTTCAATTATAGTCTCTAAAACTGACCACAGTGAAATCATTTATAGGTAGACATCAGACTACTTGGAAAGAAAAACTGTGGTTACAGTATTTCAGTCTTTCGAGCACTGAATTATCTTCTTGAAAAATATATTGAACTTATCTGCTGATATTTTTAAACTTTGCAAAAACAATAAACCATGCTTTTCACTGAATCTTTTTGATTAAGTTCTATATGGCCAAATGCCCAGTCTACTCCTGCCTTCCTTAACAAGCAACTGAAATATTTAAATACAAACCACAATTTTATTTTTCTATTCTTTCTCTACAAAAATGCTTAAGCACAACTAAATACTTAATAATATATATGCCTTAGATTTAAAGGTGTTATTTTATCTTGGTTGTAAATAACACATAAACAAATTGAAATTTACTTAAACCTAATTTATAGTCAATGTTTTAGGGGTATTTTATGGAAATCCAGGTAGTAAATATAGGCAGTCCTCACAAGATTGTGGATCCATAGAGTGGAAAATCATCAGGAATTAGAATCTCTCTCTTTTTCTATGTCTCTGTGTCTATCTCTTTCTGAGACTGTGTGTCTCTCTCCTTTCTCTGCACGTGTGTGTGTGATTTTCTCTATTTCTCTATCACTCTCACATGTTGTTTCTCATCTCATCTTCTCTTTGGATAGCCACCTCACTCTTCTCTCTCAGCTGATCAGGACTCACAACTTGCCCACACTCATAGCCAAATCTGGCTTAATTTCTGCTTCCAAGTTCACCTCACTTTTCTTACCAATTTTGCTTCCAAGTTCAGCTCACTCATCCTACCACTTGCATTTCTAAGTTTCTCTTTTTGTTTTTAAAAGAGGGAGAGAGAGATACTTTCAACAACAATGTCTTTATGCCATAATTTAGCTCTAGTCTCAGCCAACCATGATCACAGGCATAGCATTCACATGATTAGCCCATGTGCACAGGAAGACCATGAGATGCAAACCTAGGACCTTCCCATTTGGCTTCAGCATCTAGGAGTGCTGCATTACTGCTATCCAGACAGGGTTGGCCCTAATCTTGCATTTCTGGTCAAGAGAATCTATTGTCCCAGTGTGGAACAATATTACTGTCAATAAAACTGAAAGAGAGCAAGAACTTTTTCATTTAATAAAATACACATGTGATAAAGAATTTATATATAATATAAGTGTGTTTTTCAGTAAAGTTGCCTCAAATTATATTGCACATTGTAATAGTGTAATGCTGAGGAATGATGCACCTTTATATCATAAGATATAAAAAAGTATAATTATATAGAATTTTATTCTTGTCTCTGTAACAGTAAACTATTATATTCATTCAAAATAGCTACTCTGGACTAGAGACTATTTTAAGTGCTGTCTTCATGCACTCTTCTGTCCCTGCACCTGCATACAGGCATATACAAACTTTTGATCCTTAAACTCTATAGGGTATTATTATTATTATTATCATTCCTACTGTACAGAAAAATGAGGATAAGAGGGGTTGAGTGGCTGTTCAAGATTCCACAGCCAGTAATAGGTAGCATATCTAGGATTAGAATGCAGGTATCGTGAGCCCACGGTCATGATACTGTGTCTTTATCCTCTGAATTTGGTCTTCTCACCTATATAATCCAATCCTGATAAAAGCTGAGTCAATTTCTTTCCAAGAAAATAATTATTTCTTCCTTTTATTCAAGTTATATTATACTTATTGGTTCTTGGTTTCATTTCTTCTTCCTTCAGACATTCTTATTTTTCTCTCAGTGATGTACATGTACTGCATTTTACAAGTATTATCAGTATCTATAATTAGAATACCATGCACACATAGTTTTTTCTTTTCTAAAAATGAAAAAAAATGAAATATACGTTTTAAACAACTTCACTAGACTTACCTTTAAATACCATTTTTATTATGTTTTGATGTTTATGCAGTCCTCTAACTAATTTTTAGTCACCACATTCCTGCAGATCCAAGCCACTTTAGATAAATTTCCAATTGAACTTGAAAAAAATTCTTAAGTTGTTCTTAGTTTGTTCCATCTTAACTCACTTACATGGAGGAAAATTGATTTTTTGGCACACATATATTGTAAGCTAATAAACTACTATTCACCAATCAAAACCTGAAGAAAAAATAAAACTTACTCTGCATTAAATTGTGTTTCATTATAAGTCAGAGAAAGAATGTTGTCCTCCGAGAAAAAAATGGAAAGTTTATTACATTTCCACAGACACTGTTAGTAAATTCATAAAAGTCTTGCTATGATTTGATTCTCATTGTAATTACTACTTTATTTCTGGTGATTTCACAATAGAATAAGAATATGGATACTTTTCCATTTCATTTTCTTAGGACTTTATAAGCTGAAACTAAGAAGTCTCTTGATTTTCTTCCTGCCTATGTTAAATCATTCTTCCATAATATGTCTTTAAGAAGAAAACCACCTGCCCACACACCACTAAAGTTATTAATCATTTTTATCCTAAATAATCAGGTGTTCTTTCTGCATATAAAAAAGAATACACAAGCTTTTTGTGGACCAAAAAGAAATTATTTTCCAAGATAGATTAATACTTTGGAGATAGATTTTAAACTTTTAAATTATATTTTTTTAATGAGAAATAACTATAATCAATTAGAAATTAACTTCTGTAAGCATTTGCCCACCTCTTTTCTCCATGCCTAATCAAACCTTGATCCACCACATCTATAGGTGGAACTGTGAACCCTGGTGCCCACGAGGACCCCTGGGTTACCCTTTGTTACTGGTGTCTTCTTTCCCCTCACTTAAAGTATCTGTGAGCGCAAAGTCCCAGGTGATGGATTGGAGTCTCAAGGACTGAGACTATTAGAGAAAATTAAAGAGAGTGAGGTTTCGTTTCCAGACATTGAAAGATTTCTTTTTTTGTGGGGGACGGAGATGATATTTTTGCTATAGGGCGCATGCGCTCGCCAGAAAGACAGAGACAAACAGAAAGCAAGAAATCACCCCCCAGGGGGGATGGCCACTCAACCACGCTGCAGTTCCTTCTCCACCCTTCTCCTCTTGGGATCTTGGGCATGCACGACAGTCGACTACATAGGAATCCAGTGACATAGCCATTACACCAACTGTTGGTCCCAAGACATTGAAAGATTTCTAATGGGTCAGTCTGTGGCCTGGTGTTTTAGCTGACTGGATCCCATGTGGCCTATTAAGCAGTTCAAGTTCCCCACCAGTAGCTTGAAAAATACATTGGGCACGTGGCTAGTGTGTCCAAAATCCACAAAGGAGGGTGAAATGAAGGAGACGGCCCTTTGGAATGACTCTCTCCCTCTCTCTGTCTCTAGCAAGCTCACTTACCCTACGACAAAAAAAAAAAATCAGAAAACCAAAAAACAAAAACAGTGTAGAATCATTTGAATTGAGAAACTGCTTTCTCTGGAAAGCTGGAGAGGCAATCTCACCTCTGAAGACAACTGTGCTGGAAGCCACCCCCAGGGCAGCTGGGAAGTTATGTAGTCATGTGCCAAAGGATCCTGGGTCACTGGGTCACTCAAACAAGTCTGGGAATCATCAGTAATTACGTGATGCCAAGCCCCCATAGTTTGGATAGTGTTTAAACACAATTTCTTCCACTTCTGAAAACTAGTCGTAGAGGCAGAGGAAAAGCCACTACTCTTGGCACATTAATCTTTCTTCCTTCCATAGTTCGTCACTGAATCTTAAGGTGACAGGAGCGAATTCTGAGAAGCTTGTTTGTCTATGAGAGCAACTCAGCACTGAGGGCGCTGAGTTGCTCTCATAGAGTTAACTGCTAAATTCTTAACTGCTAAGCTGTTAAATTCTTCTTAACTGCTCTCATGCAGTTAAGAATTGTCTGCAGATAGCAACATGACCCTTTGGACAGAACCTTGCAAGGCTTCTTTATTTTGGAGGTCAGTCTGATCGGTTTCTAGGATTACCAGGTTTTCTGAAGGCATCTGGTAGGCCCAGACGGTGCATTCCAAAGCTACATGCCAGGAAAGTGGCTGTGTGACTGCAGGGTGACACCCAAGGTGGTAGAGCCACAGCCAGGAAGCGCTGGGCGTGTCTCGGCCCTCAGGACATGTTGGGCGTGGCTTTTCAACCCCGCAGTCAAGGTTGGGGGGCTGGGGGCAGTTGCAGAGAAGCTGTGCGAAGGCTCCATCGCTATCCCTGTGGAGGAACGGCTGCGGCCCAGAGCAAGGACACGCAGCTTCCCTGAAGGCCTTGCTGAAGTACTGAGAAAGTCCAGAGAGAGGAGGGTTGCACTGCACCATCCTCCGCGCCTCTGCAGCCAAGTCTGCAGCCAGGACTCTGCCACGCTTCTGCCCCACCTGCTGCAGCAGCGATGCCTGGCGGAGTCTGGGCATCGCTGATCGCGCTGACGCTCCTGGCTCGCGGGGAAACTCAGCCAGGTAGGGCGCTGGTGGTCGGGAGAGCAAGGGCGCCGCTGAGCAGAGGAGGAGCAGGACTGATTCTCTGATCACAGAAGCGACATCCTGGGCGACTTGACAGTTTCATCTGATGTTTGTCCCTTACCGGCGTCTGCTCTGTCCTGTTATGGTCTGAAGCAGTCGCTAAAGCCTGGAGCTCTTCAGGTTTTTTGCTCACAAGAAGTTGTTGCCGCCTCTTCCTCTAAGATCCTCCGTGTTTTTCCATTTTCTTTGTTTTCTGCTCACATCCCTGCTCTTAAAAGTCATTTGAATTTGCTGTAAGAAACTGTTTGGATCTGCCAGTTACCTTAGGAAAGTGAATCCAATTACAAGAGTTCAGTTTCAAACTTCATGATTTCTACCTCCACCCCCACTCTGGGAAATACCTAACTGATGAACGATTTATCCCTACAGTAAATCGTTAACGTTTGCGTATGATTCTTTTGTGTATCTGTTAGAATCCATTTTGATACTCTAATAGAGAACTCTGAAGATGGTATCTGTCATACCTCTCACTCATGACAAAGTAAACATAGTTTAAAATACAGTGACATTAAAACAATAGGAAAATAGAGCAAAGTTCATTACCCCTTCCTGCTTGTTTTTTGTGTTCATACAGATAGAATATTAAATAAAAAGTAATTTGTTCTTATACATTTCTTATATTTTTCAGAAATCTGATATGTGCACAACTTTGCAACCTGAAAAAAGTCATGTGCAACATTTTTGACCATTTAGAGTATAATTTTGTCTTGTCATCTTGTTGACCTTTATCAATTTTACTAATGTAAGTTTGCCCTGTAAACAGGAGGTAGGGTATGTACTCTCCCATGTACTCTTTTTTTTAAAAAAAATATGTAATTCTGTTCATTATTATTATTTTTTTATTTTCATAGAGAGACAGGAAGAGAGAGAGAGAAAGTAAGAAAGCAAGCTACCAGGTCTGGGACTCAAACCATAATAGACCATGTGGGAATCTAGCATCTTAATCAGCACACCATCTGCTGGCCCTCTCTTGTACATTTAAAAAGAATATTAAAACCCCCTTTGTTGGAGATATTTTTGCTATAAGACACATGCACTCACTGGAGAGAGAGAGAGAGAGAGAGAGAGAGAGAAAGTGAGAAATCACCCCCACAAGGGGGCTGGCCACACCGTAATCCCTTCTCTTCCATTTTTTTCTCAGGATTTTGGGTGTGTATGCATACATATCCAGCATGAGTATCAAACTGCTGGGTCCAGGACTTGAACTATGGTTGGCCATGTGGGAGTCCAGTGCCCTAACTACTAAACCATGGACTGTCCCCTAAAGCCCAATTTATTAATTATTTCTTAAAATGAGGCAACCTAGAAAGGTATCATTGGTCTGTACTTCTTTGATTTTCTTATGAATTTACTAGGTATTCATGAAGATCTTTATTTTTTTTTCAAGCTCTAGACTTGTCCCTATGATTAAGTTGGCCATTTTCTTAGGTTTTTAAACTCTTATTTCCGTGTGTCTGTTATTTAATTTTCCTGATATAGCACTCCCTTGAGAACTTCTTGGAGATCTGGTCTGGTGCTGGTAAATTCTTTCAGGTTTTGTTTATCTGAGAATGTTCTTGTCGATAATCTTGTCGGGTATAGTATTCTTGGTTGAAATTGCTTTTCTCTTAACACTTTGAATTTATTTTCCCATTCTGTCCTTGCTTGCATTGTTTCTGATGAGAGGTTTGCTATTAGCCTGATGGGATACCCTTTGTAGGTAACTTGCCATTTTTCTCTTACCAATCTTAGTATCTTGTCTTTATCTATGGTTTTGGTCAATCTGGATATAATGTGTTTTAGAGAAAATCTTCTTGGGTTGATTCTATTTGATGTCCTTTATAGTGCTTGAGACTGGATCTTTGAGTGCCTCTCTAGGTTTGAAAAGTTTTCTTATAGGATTTCATGGAATAGATTATCAATGCCCGTAAGAGTCTCTTCACCTTCTGGGATACCAATTATCCAGATGTTTGGACTTTTGATAGTAGCTAGTATTTTTTGTATATCATTCTCATTTTTTTGGGCAATTTTCTCAATCTTCGTGATGGATTTTTCTAGGCCAGTGATTTTCTCTTCTACATCTGAGATTCTATTTTCTGTAAGATTTAGTCTGTTTTTAATACTTTCAAGGGAGATTTTGACTTCCTGTATTATAGCCTTCATCTCTAATAGGTCCATTTGATTCTTTTTAAAAGTGTATTATTCTTCTTTTAGATCTTGCAAAAATTTCCTCACCTCCTGGAACTCATCAGCTCCTTTCTCCTTTCTCTTCGGCAGTTCATTGTCTCTCTTCTCTTCCATCTTTGTTAGATTCACCATTATGAATGTTCTAAATTCTTTATTAGATATTTCCATGATTTCCATTGAGCTGTCTGTAGATGAAGAGGCGCTGTTCTTTTCCCTTGGAGAAGAGGTATTTTCTTGCTTTCCCATATTTCTTGTGGCCCTTTGGTGATTTTTGTCATCTGATGGATGGTGTATTTTTCTTCCTAAACTTGCAGTTCAATCTGAGCATTCAGGAGCGTGCTGAAAGTGGTGATCTGGAGTCTCTTTGCCATTCTGTTTGGATCCCTTTGTGCAGAAGATTCAGTAGATATTGAGGAATATGTTAACCCTAATAGTATTTGGATGTTTGGCTATAGTTCCCTTAGATCAGTCTAGAAACACAGTGAATGGAGATTGAAGAGCAGAGAGATGAGATAAAAGAAAAAGAAAAGGAAACAGAGAGAAAGAAAAAAGAACAACAGCAACAACAACCAAGAAACGGAGAAAAAAAGAAGGAAAAAAAAAACCTAAAAAATTTATTTTTAAAAAAAGCAAAAAATAGAAAACCGCACAGCAGTTATTTTTCCCCTGAAATCACTAGTTCTCAGGAGCTATGAAAATGTCTTCTTCTGAAGGCCTGCCCCTTGCCTCTCCACTCGAGTTTGTGGGCTGGAGGCTGAATTATCAGGAAAAAATCTTCATTTCTCTTTTTTCCCCTGAAATCACTAGTTCTCGGAACCCATGAAGGGTCTTCTTCTGAAGGCCTGCCCCTTGCCTCTCTCAAGAAGATCTTTTAAAAATACATGTAATAACATAAAAAATGCATTCATGGGGTTGGCAAGTAGCATAGAGATTAAGGCACTGGACTCCCACTGGCTGACCAAAGAAACTCATGCAGGTGTGTGTGCATGTGTGCCCAAAATCCTGAGAGGAGAGTGGAGAAGGGATTATGGCATGGGCATCCTCCCTAGGGGGTTGATTTCTCACTTTCTCTCTCTGTGTCTCCAGTGAGTGGACATGCCCTATAGCAAAAATCTCTCTTGAAATAAAATAACTGCCATCTCCCTACTGAAGGCAAACAGTATCCCTTAGCAGGTCTTAAATTTATATTGTGGTAAAGTTGATGATTTTATGCTTAATAGAGTAGATATATACCTATTAAGGTATATATATCTTATTATATACATAGAGTAGATATATACCTATTAAGGTATATATTTCTTAATATATTCCTTAATTATATATAATTATATATATACTCACATCTGAGTAGGTGAGTAGGAAATTTATTTATTGACACCTTTTTTTCCAGGTATAGCTATTAAGCTATAATTTATATACTATATAAATCACTCAAAGCAATTCTAGAAGTCTGGCCCTGTGGTCTAAGAAACTGAATCCCACATGGTCTTAAGTGGATGAGGGAGCAGTATCTCACATGGCAACTGCAGTTCAGATCCCAGTTCTAGCTCCAAAACATCCTGGGTACATGTTCATGTATGCTCAAAATTCTAATGGGAGAAGAAAGGATTAGAATTTGATTATGGTCCCCTGAGGTGGGGGGTGCTTTCTCTTTCTTCATTTTCCTCTCTCTTTCTTTCTCTGGCAAGGTCATGTGTCCTTTACAAATTTTTAAAAAAATACAATTTTGTGGTTTTTAATATAGTCACAGAGATATGCAACCATCACTATACTCAATTTTGAAATATCTTCATTAATTCTGAAAGAAACACTACCCTTAGCTATCACCCTCCTATACCTTCCATGACTCTTCCTGCATTTCCACCCATAAGAAATTTCTAATCTACTCTTGTCTCTATGGATTTATGCAGTCTGTTTATTTTATATTCATGGAATCATATGATAGATGGTCTTTTGTGACTGGCTTCTTTCAATTAGCATTACATTTTCAAGGTTCATTCATGTTGTAGCATGTATTAGTACTTCATTTCATTTTAAGGTAGAATAATATCCAATTGTAAGATATACCTGATTCATCAGTTGATGAACATTTGGGTTATCACATTTTGATTATTAAAAGTAATGCTACCATAAACATCCAGGTACGAGTTTCTTTTGTGACATATATTTTCATTTATCTTAGCTGTAGACTAAGTAGAATTACTAGGATATAGGATAACTATATGATTAGCCATTTGAGGAACAGCCAGAATGTTTTCCAATAAAACTGTACTGTTGATTATTTCACAGAACCAGCTTTTGGTTTCATTGATTTCTCTTCCTTTTCTTTGTATTCTCAATTTAATTAATTTCTTCATCAATCTATAAAATTTCCTTTCTTTGCTTTATTTATGTTTAGTATGCTTATTTTTCCAATGTTTTCAGATGCATGGTTAATATTATGTTTAGTTTTTGTTGTAGTTACGTTGTTAAATATATGCATTTATTCTACAATTTCCCTCTAAGTACCACTTTAGCAGCATTCCATCCATTCTGGTAGATTATGTCTTCATTGTAATTCTTCCCCAAGTATTTATCTTTTCATTTCTTCTTCTTTTTAAAGTGTTTTATTTTTCCTGACACACGCATACACACACACGCAGAGAGAGAGAGAGAGAGAGAGAGAGAGAGAGATAGAGAAAGCCTTCTCACCAGGATCTTCATACCATGCTCTACCCTCATTATCAGCCAACCTTGATCACAGGCACATGTGCATATGCCTGCTATACTCA